ACTTCTGGTACATTTTAGTGCATGTAATTCAGGTGCTTAATTAACACAAGTTTGCTTTTGTTTTGTCCATATATGTTGTATTTAGATTATATGTAGAATGTTGATAGTACATTTTTGAAATAAACTTTCCCTCCACTTAATGTAGTCAATTTTCCAACAACCCAATCATCTGAATTCTTTCATTCATCCCTCATACTGCAAGAGAACAATATCTATCTAGAACATTCTTCTTCATACGACCTTGTCACTTTTTTCTCTTATATTTACACTGGAATGATTTTGTCCCAAAATTAGCAAGAAAACCTGCCACATAAACATAGTCAGAAATTGTTGGGATCATTGTCATGGGAACTGTAAATCGAAGAAGGCGATTGGCTTTGATCAGTCGTACTGCATGTTCCACATATATTCTTGCAGATGCTATTGCTCGAGTTAGCACTTCCTCTTCTGGAGTGAACTTCTTGCGTCCACCCAAGGACGGAGGCTTCAACACTTCAACTCCTCTTCTCAAAAGTTCGTCATTTATTTCAAAACCCCTGTCACACATTACTACATCACCAGGTTGTAACAAATCATAAAAGCCACTTTCCTTCAAAGCTTGGTTTTCTGTCATATTCCCCTCAAAACCAGGTGTTATAAACACTATTCCACCATGACATGAAATGCCAACAATAAATCTAACTGTATTGTCTGATTTGTAATGGGAGTAGGTATTCCCTTGCTGTTGGAAATTGGAGGGGCACTCTATTTTCAGTTCCAACCCATCGATAATCACTCTCAGATTTTTGAATGGCTTGAAGGGTCTGGGCTTCTTGTATTTTTGGGCCTCAGCACTGATGAACATGTGCTCTGACAGTGCCTTAAATTTTATATACAAGTAACGCAGCATGGAGTACAAGAGTTTGCAACAGTACTCTTTACCAATTCCAAACACATGGGCCAAGTCAACAATTGGATATCCTCTTCTCAGTCTCAAAAGAAACATAAACAATTTGTCTTCAGAACTAATTTTTCTTTCTGAACGGAACCTCTGTGGTGTCTTCTGATTGTAATCCAATTTCAACATTTTTATCTTGTCATCTCCTCCCAAAAACTCAAACAGAACTTGAAAATTTTTTACAGACATGCCAGTAAAAAATTTAAATTTCTTGGGGTCTTTGGCACAGATTTTATAGCTGGTTAGACGTGTAGGAATTTGCCTTTGGTCAGATTGAGTTGATAGAAGAGAGTAGCTGTTATTTGTCTGATGGAGCTGAAAAGAAAAAAAAAACAATCAATTAATGAACTCAATTTAAAAAAATATATCAAGTGCTGCAATGTAACATAATATAATCATTGTTAAATTTCTCTGATTTTCTTTCAGCATTGACATGCACCTCCCTGCCAAAGACGTGGAATAAAGGTTCTCTGCAAAGAGATCCAGGACCCATTAGAGACAAACAATACGACTCTTTCAGGATAGATATCAAGCGCAGAGCATATTTTGACCCAAGACCAACAAACTTTCAGAATTCAACTTTAACTCAGGAAGAAATCCATCATTTTTTAGCTAATCTCACAGTTAACTCGGTAGACACTCTTTTCCAGAAACACATGAAGATAAAGTATGAAGAAGAAACGTATGCCCCAACAACCCTGAAGAATCTCTCAACACTCTGCAGAACTTTCTTAAATAACCTGCCTACTTATCAGACAGGCTACGACACCATCATACACCCTCCTGGTGGATCTCGGGTTTATGAATTGCCAAATACTAGAGCCCATACCGATATTGAGACTGATACTGATACATGGAAGAGGATGCGAAGTATACACATGACTGGTAAGACAGCCTACCAAGTTTTACATCTCCCCCAAGAATCATCCAAAAAAGCATTCCTGAGAAAACACTTGTGGGGTTTGGACGGCCCTCGTGGGGCAGCTCTGCAATATGGCATAGACCATGAGGAGGATGCTCTCGTTGATTATCTTGTTGAAATGTGGGAAACAGATGAATCCGCATATGTCAATAATGAGCTTGGACTGCTGAAACGGGATGACTATCCTGAAGGAGCAGCAAGTGTTGATGCAATAAAGCATTCCAGGATCATGCGACCCAAAGTTGTAGAAGTGAAATGTCCCTATATCCTTAGGAAACATGACCCAAAGAAATACAGGGATGTGTTGACAGCCAGTCAAAGGAACTCTTTTTGCGTAGGCTGGGATAAGTCGAGGCAACAAAACTACCTCAAAAAAGGTCATGACTATTACAGCCAGGTTCAACATTACCTTGGCATTTTAGGGTTTGGAAGTGCTGACCTAGTAGTGTGGAGCCCAAAGGGCATGATGATAGTCGAAGTACCTTTTGACAAGCCGCACTGGGAAAAAATTAAGGCTGCACAAATCCGAGTGCACAGAGAACTCCTAATCCCTGAATACTTCCTAAAACGTACTCCAAGAGAACTTAACCCATTGCATTTTATCTGGGAAAATCTACAAACCTCTGAGTCTGATTTAGAAATGCTGTGAGGAGCTTCAGAGACATCCAGCCTGCGAGGCTTCAAAGTACCCAGTGGAGGCTGTGGTACTCCATCTTCATTATTGTGACCCTGTAAAAATATTTTATAACATTTTCAATCTATTCTATTACTGTTTTAAATAGAGTATCTTTTAAATTATTTTACAATAAGACTTATTATGTTTTATCTGTTTTTACAAGTATATTTTTTAAATATTTTGATTGTGAAATATTGTTAACTTCTATGTTGATAATTCTGTATTTCTCCTTTTAAGCCTTCATTTTGTAATTCATTTCATTAAGTGTAATACTGAATGTTAACTTACAATTGGAGTTACTTCCCATTTTGAAGTAGAACGACAGCTGGCAGAAGAGTTGACAGGAGTGGATTGTGAAGTTGGTTGAAGCACTTGCTGATAAACCAAAATTTTACAGGCAGCACCTGTCTCTTGTCCCAAGAATTTGGTCCATGAAAAACTTTTTACCTGGTTAATAAAGTATATGATTAGATAATATACTGAAATACATAATGCAGTTGATTGTCTACAACATAGTACAGAAAAATATACCTTTCTATCTTCACAAGACACAAGTTTGTTGTCTGGACACCTTACTATTGCCATCCTACTGCCTAAAATAGCACCAATTACTTTGTACTTATTCTGATGTGTTGATGACGAAGTTGATGTTTTACTCTTAGGAAGCTGGATGGTCTCATTTAACACAAATTGTTGACTGCCACTATTACTTTTAGAGCTGTGTACACAGAACAAAAGAAATTACCACAAATAGTAACTGTATCTCTGATTTTAGTCACATTGAATTTGATATAAAAAGATGTACAATACTCAAGCAGACCTGACGAGGTGAAGTAAAAGAAGACTTGGTGCCCTTGAAATTTCTTTAAATGCATAACACCTAAGTTCACCACAGTCCTGACATGTAGTTCTTTTACTCCCTAGAACTTTCTCTATACTGTCCTGAACATTGTAAGAGTCAAGAGACACTTGGAGGCACATCAATTGCTCTTTTTTACTTGATACAGTTCCACATTTGAGACACGCACCTGGAGATGAAGTATTCAATGACCGTTATAACATTAAAACACTTAGCGTTACTACAACATCATTAGAAACTTTACAACTCACTTTCAGTAGTCAACTCGCCACCGAAAATGTCCACTATGGGCGATTCGTCACTGCTACAATATTGACAGAGTCACAGAATAAAATGTGGCATAATAATGTGCATCAATAAATTTTGTAAAAAAGGTTGGCTGCCAACAAGATTAAATTTTAAAACATACTATACTCACTTTTCTTCATGAGAAAGATCGTGGTGAACATATGAAATAAGTGTCAGCAGGGTTTCAAAAATTTGAGTGCCAGGTACAATATCGCACAATGCTGTAAAAAATAAAAGATATACATTTGCTTGACAAATACCACCACTCGACAATGGTACACAAATAATTTAATAAAATTTCTGACCAGAGTTCACATCTGAGTCAATAATGCCATGTCTATACTTCTCCCAGATTCTTAATATATGGCAGAAAACACATTCATCATCATTACACTTGTGTTTGCTTTCTCTTAATAATTTTAAAAACAAAGGTACATGAAACAGAAGGTGCAGACATCCATTGATCGAACTATCCTCTAAGGGAGCGAGACCACTGTGATGATGAGTAAGGCCACTCCATTGATCGTCTTCGCACATCTGAAAAAAACAAAAAAAACAATAATTTTCAAGGCATTATTTCTTATATTGAAGTGCTTCATTGTACACTTACTGTAGCGTTTTTGTCACATATGTTTATACGCTGAACAACAACCTCACATAACCTATAGGGGGGCAAGATATAAACTAATGATAAAAAAATAATAAAAGATGTTAAAAAACCACAGAAATAACCGAAAATTGTGATTCATTGGCCATATAATATTTTTAAAATGATGTAGGAATGGCGACGGATGGTATCACACCGGCTACAGCGGTATTTCAAACGAGATGACAGGTCTTTCTGACACGAAGCTATCATAAATAAGACGTAAATACGGTCGCACAACACTAAAATACTATATTTCAATATTTTTGTCCCCTGACACACACTATTTCTTACACACAAGTCAATATTTACGGCTGCACGGACAGATTTCGTTGTGTTTACCTCGCTAGCTACGCCACAGCCGCAATATGGCGGCGCGAACACGTAAAAACAGCAATTTCTCATACTACTTCCGGCGTTTTTGTTCTTCTTCCCAAAGCGTCTGCTTCTGGGCAAATCGTCTATTACTGATTGAAGGGACGCTGAGGCGCCCGCTGCATACGCCTCCGCCGGGGCGGACATGCCGGGACCAGGAGGACACCCTATCCTCCGCGGCGACATGTGTGACACTGCGCACGACCCGAGCAACGGGAAAGGCTTGGGCTGGCCCGCCAATGGTCCTGACCACCTCGCTGACCAGTCTCCCGCGACGGGCGGGCCGCGCCGCGGGCAGGGGTAGCTGAGCAGTGCGCGGCCGAGGCACCGGTGATCCCCGTGCTGCCCCCCCCCCTCTCTCTCTCTCTTTCCCTCTCTCCCCCCCCCCCTCTCTCTCGCACGCAGTACCAGGCCCGGGAGCGCTCCGCCCTCTCGCTCGCACCCTATCTCGCGTTCAACTCGACCAAATCCGACGGCCGCTCGTCTCGTCCGGCTCCCTGACCTCGATGGGGCGCCCGGCCCGTGGCTCTAGCTGCGGCTCCACCCGCGGCGCCCCCCGCTCACCCAGTGGGGGGGTTCTAACGCCGGCGACGACGGGAAGGCGGCCAACGTACTCCATTGGGTCAGCGAGCACGGCGGGGGACGACTTGGCCGGGTCAGGACGAGTGAGAGAGAGAGAGAGAGAGGGAGAAAGAGAGGAATCGAGCAAGAGGACAAGCCGAGGGACAAGTAGCAACAGTTGGAAAAGTCCTTTCGCAGTAAGAGGAGGAGGAGGTAAGTGGGATGAGTCTGACTGTTGCACGGGGCCGGGCTGGGTGCGGGCACGCACTGCACCGGGCCGGGCCGGGCAGGAGCGCGCAGTAACAGGACACTTTGTACTGCGGATAGTTAGGGCCCGCGTGGGAGTCCTGGTCGGCGGAGGCGGCGCGCTAGGCGGGGCGCGCTGGGACGTAAACAGCAAAAGAAAGGGCATGATTCCGTTCTGGTTTACCTCCACGGCGAATAACAGGGCAGCAGCAGCTGCAGCAGCAGCAACAGCAGCAAAACGAATCGAAGCGCATGCAGTGTTGCCTATCGCTGTGATAAGTCACTCCGCTGAAAGGATTTTTAAACCTCGTCACGGCATGCCCACCCGGCCCTGCTGCTGCGCTGCGCTGTGTACACCAACAAGCAACATGCAACGTAACGCAGTCATCACGGGGCCATCTGGTGCAGCAGGCCGGGCGGTGCTGGGCGGGGCTGGGGCGGGGGACCCCCTGCCGAGCAGCGGTCGGTCAATCGGCTGCACCGCGCTGCACCACCGCAGCGGGCCTCACCGCGCCGCGCCGGGACGGCCAATAAGGGCCCTAGCACGCCTCGCCACAACTTGGCAGCCGCGCCAGTCCCTGCCAAACGACTCGATTGTCACAGAAAACCGGGTGCTGCTGGTGCAGCTTGCCGGTGCCAACCCCTCCTCCTCCCCCTTTTCCCGCTCCACCCGCTCTCCTCACTGCTTTTTCAGACCCCGGCATTACCCCGGCGACGTGTCAGGAAAAGGAAGAGGGGAGGGGGAGAGGGAGGGAGGGCATAAATTTGCGGCGCAGCCAGTATAAATCTATTTGCGCGCGCGAAAGGAGGTGAAAAGTCGACAGCGACAGCCAGCGGGGGTATCGATCACACTCGCCTGTCCGTGTTTATCATCATTAGGAGCCACCGGTGCGCGGGCATGCGCGGGCAGCAGCGGGCGCAACGGGCGAGCGGCCAGCAGATGAACACCCAACCCCTCCTCCGCCACCCTATCCCCGACGTCTCCTGCTCGCGCTGCTGCTGACCGCTGACCCCTCCTCTTTTACGGCCTGAAACGTGACGGCGGCGGCGCGGCGGTCGCGGTCGTCTCGCTGGGTGGTGAAGCTCCTCCTGCGTGTGGCGGTGCGCGGCACGGGAGCCGCCGCGGAGCTGCTAAACGCCCCCCACTCGCTTGACCCCGCGCTGCTGCTGGCTGCCTCTAACCCCGCGCCGCGCCCGAGGACTATTGGGCTATTGCTGGGCAAATAATACAGTCGTGCGTGGAGTATCGGCGGGGCCGTGAACCCCATCGGGCCCGGTGGTGCTCGTGACCGGGCGCGGCGGCGGCGGCGGCGCGGGTGTGAGCCGGCGGAGGAGAGTCCCGCCCGGGGAGCTCACACCCGCCGCATTCTTGAAGGCCCTGCTCGGCCCGGCCCGTCTGCCGCGGGAAGAGACTGACGAAAAAGGTCCCGGGACGCCGACGTCGCTACTCAATATTCTCGAAGCCGCCGGCGGCGGCTGGGCGGCCGTTAGAGGCGCGCCCCGGCTCGCCCGGCTGCCTTGGATTGGGCTAGGGCAGAGATGGATGCCGGGCCCAGAAGGGTCATTACCGAAAGAGAAACAGATTAGTGAGTGGCTGGGCCGGCCGGGGGCTCGGGCGCACACATTAGTCCCGGTCCGACGCCCACGACCATGTCCCGCGAGAAAATCGGGTCTGCAAAACGGGCAAAAGCGACGCGGGCACGGCGCGGCACGCGCGCGCGCACACCGCTGCTGCTGAGCTGCAGAGCGTCGTATTGGAACGGACCCGCTGTGCGGCAGGGCCGGGCAGGGCCGGGCAGGGCAGGCCTCGCCCACCGCCGCCGCGCTGACCGCTATGTGACCACCGTCCGGTAACGAGGCTCTTAGCGTGTCTGGGCACGCAGCGCGCGGCCACGCCACGCCGCGGGCTGGCTAGCGCAGGCCCGGAGGCACGCGTGTGCTGCTGCTGCTGTCCCTGGAAGACAGACGTCCGTCCACCCGTCGTACGACGCGAGTGAAACGGCTGCTGGCTATTGCTGCTGCTGCTGCAGTGCGATGACGGACTGGCCCACGGAGGTCCGGTGCTGCGGACACCGTCAAAACGGCCGGTGAAACTGGGCGCGCGTCACGTCCGCGGGCGCGGGGCCGCCCGGGTTGGGCTACTGAACTGGGCCTGCCGCGCCGGCTGCACCGGACCGGACGCGGGCGGGACGCGGCTAGAGGGCGGGAAAGCGACAAGCGGCGGGCGTCGCCGGGGCGCCAAGGCGCCAGGGAAAAGGAAACTTAATGAGGACTCTAGCCCTTCGCCTCCGCACCGGCGGCGGCAGCGGCAGTGTCATTTACAGAGCCGTTGGGAAAAGCGAGGAAAGCTTATTCTAGAATAAGGGCCGTTCACGGAACCCTTCTCGGCTCCCACAGCGTGCCCGCCCCGGCGGACGCAGCAGTGACTGAGGACGCGCGGCGCGAGCGTGTCTCCGGAGAAGGTGGACCTCGAGGACGACGGGCCCTGCGCCTGCGGCGCGCACGGGCTACGGCTGCACAATGCACCGAGGAAATGGCAGCAGCGCGGTGAGGACACAAAAAAAAAGACATGAAGAAAAAGTGACCAAACGGAGGAGGTGGGATTTCTTTCTTTCCTTCGCTTGATGATTGTCGTCCTGCTCGTCTCGTAGTATTGTGTTGGTGTGTTTACTGGTTGTTCCCAGAGAGCGCTTCGTGCCCGGGCCAGCCCCGTGGTGGTGGTGGTGGAGGAGGAGGAAGAGACGGAGGAGAAGAAGGTTCGACGGGGTTCCCATTAGCCACGTCGGCTGTCGCTGCTAAACTGTCGGGCCTGGCGGCCACAATGTTACACAGCACTCCGGAGATGCCGATCAATCTATTTGCCCCTCCACCGTCGCCCCGTCGCTCCGCCGCCGCGCCCCGTGGTCCAGTTTGTTGGTTTATACGTCGCGGCTCGCCTCGCCTGATGCACGGCGAGGTATCGATCACCCGGGGCCGCCAGAGGGCGCGCCTCGGCGGCGCTGCGAGAGGGCGCCTCGTCATAAATCACCAATCACCCGCAGTCTTTGCATCCATGCCCCACCACCACCACCGGATGCCTCCTTTCATTTCTACACGCGCGTATCATCAGCTGTTCCTTTTCGGCCGCCCCTAATAATAATTTTCGACTAAACACGTTCGGAAAATAATTACGGTGTGTTGTTACACGATCGTGTGTGTGTGTTTTTCATCCGCCTTATCATCCCCGACTGATCTTTGTATTTGTGTTTCCTTACCGCGTGGCTCCCCACGACGCCGTGTGCGTAGGCAGCTCGCCCGCGCCCATGTGCGTGGTTCAGTATGAGTAGAGAGACGTGTTAGCACCCCTCCGAACGAATCTTTCAAAACCGAACGATATTTATTCACAGCATGTAAAATTATCGGAAGTCATAGTATTAATTTTTCTTTAAGATGAAAATCAAGAATATCTGCTGAAGCTGAAAGTGTGATTAAAGAACCGTATACAACCGGACACAAACACGCATCACAAACACGTTGTACGAGGCACTGGTCTTGGCGCCTGCCACGCGCTGGTTAGGCCGACCCGCCGAGCAGCTGTGTGAGGCCGGCGGCCCGCCCCCTGACCGCCCAAGCGCGGGGGCTCCGGCTAAGGCGTCAGTACAGTAGTACTGTCAGTGGCTCCTCCAGCTGCTCGTGGAGCTGCTCGTGGTGGTGCTCGTGGTAGTGCCCGTGGTAGTGCCCGTGGTGGTGCTCGTGGTGCTGCCCCTGGTGCTGCACAAGGTGCTGCCTGTGGTGCTGCCCCTGGTGCTGCACAAGGTGCTGCCTGTGGTGCTGCCCTTGGTGCTGCACGAGGTGATGCCTGTAGTGCTGCTCGTGGTGCCGCTCGTGGTGCTACCCGTGGTGCTGTCCGTGGTGCTTCGCGCCAGCGAGTGAGACTTGAACGCCAGGCATGATTGAAGGAGTGCGGCCGCACTGCGCGCGCGTGGCACACCGCTGAGGCAGAGAGGGTTTACGGCCTCTGCGCACGCCGCGGCCCCGCCCCGCCACGCCCCGCCACGCCCCGGAGCGGGTGCGAGGGACGCGCTCTCGCGCTTTTAATTATTATTTCGTGTGAGTTAACACTGGGCGAGGCACAGGGCTGCTTTAAATAGATACATAAATACTGCATTCATCCACCAACCTTGTTATTTCCGGGCAGGCGTGTCGTGCGGAGCAGCGGCGGCGGCGTGGGGCGGCAGGGGCATCGTTGTGTTCAGTCAGCCAAGTGGCACTCCCCCTCTGCGTGGTGGTTGTGTGTTTGTGTGCAAAGCTCTTTCTCTTTCTTCGAGCTATGGGGTAGGGAGAGGCTTTGGACGTTTACACCAATTCTGCATGACAATTGATTACATTTTCATATCGTGTTGTAACAACTGCAATGTTTCGAAGTCAGCGTTCGCTTTACTAAGTTCAAGTTATTCCTTCTATTGTTTCCTAAGTAGAAACAGAAGAGAATTACTATTGCCAACACAGGTCATATTCATCAATAAAAATTTTCTCTCACTGTCATTATTTTTTTTTTTTTTTTTTTTTTTTGAACAAACGCAATATGAAGACTTGGGGTTCCTGACCCAGCTGTTACAAACGATTTTTTGACGCGCCTTTAAAAAAGGTAAAGTAAAAGAAAAGAGTGAATGCAAAAGCACACACTGCACTGCACGCGCCTCCAAATGCAAACGCCCCGCTTAACTTATGTCGCCCCGTGGAGCCGGGCGGACTTGTTGATAAGCGGTTGATAAAGTCCGCGGCAGGGGGGCGGGCCCCC